TTTTTACAAAGGCCAAGGTTAAATTATTTTCTGCTAAAGTTTCTATTGCCGTTATAACGCCGTCATACGAAGATGGCAGTGTTAGCAGTAAATGCGAAACCTTGTCCATTTCTTCAACTTTAGCACCTGATGCTAGCAATTCGGCAATGAGTTCGTCAAACAAATTAAAATGGCTTAATAACTGAGAATCACTCTTAAGTTTTAAAGATAGCAATTGCTTGCGTGTAGACAACTGTGAGGCCAAACTCTTCCTCTCATAGATTGAATCTAAATTTTGCAAAACCTGCTTTGCAGTATCTTCACTTTTAGCAAAACCTAAAAAAGAGTCACTTAAATACTCAATAATCACGCTTTTTTCGCATTTCTCCTTTTTCTGCCATTCAACCAAATTTTCTTGTTCTTCTTCTTCTTGGTCTATAACCTTCAACACATCTATTTCGTTTAACAAAGCCCTTATACGAAATTTCCAGATGGAATATTTTTCTCCATCAAATGGCCTTATATTTCGTTTATTGGTTTTCTCCATATTTTAATTTTTATATTAAACAAAATGATTTTTACTTAGCTGCAGTTATGGCGTGCCTGGGCCCATAACCTATAATAAATTACACAACGTATGTATGTGTGTGTGATTTCCTGCAAGCGTCTCACAACTTCTTAGAATCCAGCAAGCGTCTCAGTACTTCTTAGAATCCACACTCTATGCTTTTCCTTTTGTAGTCGTGCGGTCTTCTTATATTTTGTAATATGTGCTCAGCACATATTATGTCTCCCACCAATTTATTAAACAAGTTAAATTCACTTTTGTATAGTTTTAGATATGTATTTTTAAGTTCCTTAATCCACGTCTTGCTACTTCAAATTATACGCAATAAGTAAGAGCTGAACCAGCTCATCGGAACCAAAACGATATTAGTGTAACCAGTCACGGTAGTGAGCAGAATACTTTTGCATATACAATATTCTCATCGTATGAAGTAATGTCATATTCCAACAATAACTGAACGATTGGAAATGCCTTAACTTTGGTGTTTTTAAACTAAGGAATTTGTGATTTTTTATAAGTATTAAGAATGCATCATATGAATAATTTTGAAGAATATAATTTACAGAATATTCTGCAAGGGTATATCAACTTCGGCTCCGCCCGAAGTTAGCTTTCCTTTCTTTTTCAAGTTTATAATAATGCATTAAACGGTAATTGAATTTCTTGTAAAAAGTCAATAGAACCCAATATTGAATTAATATAATCCTTCGTGTTTTTAGATGACCTACGGATTATTCAAGGGATTTTTAATCAACCCGTCTAAAAACCGATAGAGATTTCTGTAGTAACCACGATTGAAAAGGTGTTTATGTGTATGTATGGCCAACAGGCCCACCTAATTAAGAAACTCGCAAGTTCACAAAAGGCCACATTAAGGTTTAATTTTGTTTAGCAAGTCATCACTATTGTTCAGAATGATTTGTTAAATTAAAAGCGCATATCGTAACATGCATGCAGTGCTATTGATACGTATAAGTATCTATAGTACATATAAATAACTATAGTTTTGCGACTGCAAATAGTCATAGTAGTTTTCGAAATTGTCACTGCGGTCGTGCCTCTTGATAAGTGAGTTGCAAACAAAATTATTTTCGCTGAAAATGCTATACATATACATACATACATAGACAAAGAGTTGCCTTGACCTCTTTCCGCGAATTGTACACTTAAAAATGTTACTAAAACTATTTTTCTATTTTATGATTTAGAATTCACTTTAAGAAACATCCTATTAAAACATATAAAATGCCATTTATCGGAAAACTTTTTTACTTTTACCAAACTTTTTTACATTTTTCTCAAACTAATCTGTACAGCGTATATGGAAAAGTTAAAGAATGTTCTAGGTCTAGAAAAAGCTTTCGATAAATCGGTTCACCAGAAGTCGAGATACAAAATAAAATTGAAAATAAGATAACAAAGTATCAATCTCAACAATCCGAAGCTAAATCATTTTCTTAAACAGGGATTCCATTTTTTTTTGTTGCTTATCACGCCACACAATGATGGCCCTTGTTTTCGTGTATTGTAAGGTGTAACAAACGCGGGTGATGGCACCTCCATTTATGGGCAAATCGAATGTGGTCAAAGCCGGTCATTAGTCAGATTTGGTCATAGCCGGGGACGACCCAGTGGCTTGCTAAGATGTCTAGCCAAACGGTTTATAAAGATTTCCAACTGCACCGGAATTCCAAACGTTCTTTTTATACCCTTGCAGAGGGTATTATAATTTCAGTCAAAAGTTTGCAACCCAGTGAGGAGACATTTCTGGCCCTAAAAAGTATATATATTCTTGATCAGCATCACCAGGAGAGTCGATCTAGCTCTGTCCGTCTGTCCGTCCGTCCGTTCGTTTCTGCTTGAAACTTTCCCAAAAAGTTGTCTTTTTGTTGCAGGTATTATATAAGTCGGAACGTATAGCTCCCATAGGAACAATCGGAAAAACAAAATTTTAAAAAGAATAACCTTGTTGTTTTTAATTTTACTGTCTTAATTAAATTAAAATTTTACATCTATATTATATAGCTCCCATAGGAACAATCGAAAAATAAAAAAAAAAAATTAAAGAAAAATGTTTTTTTGCTGTTTTTCTATTTATCAAAATATATAGATATAGTAAATATTAACAATATCAGAATTGCGCTTTTAGTTTTGTCAAAATCGGACAACAGTATCATATAGCTGTCATAGAAACGATGGCAAAATGCAGCGCAAAATCGTCATAGCTTCATTGTTTATAGTAATATAGGCATAGAAGTCGAAATTTAGTCGATTTGTAATAACTGCAAGGGCATATAAACTTCGGCTTGCCAAAGTTTGCTTCCTTTCTTGTTTTGAGTAAATTAACAGTTGGTTTTTAAACTTTGTCCTTTGTAACACATTTTCAAAGAACTTTTTCCCCAAAATGTTTTGTGTTTAGTCTGACAGTTTTGTTTGTTCTAAATTTCTGTTTTGAAAATTTTTGATCCGTATTCGAGCATTGGCTCGTCTACTACATTTGTTGCACAAGCAACTTATTCTGATTCGTATTCCGCCGAGCGTGGACCCGTCCTACCTTGCATCTTATGATTCCAAAATTATAATTACTCTTAATATAAAGTCATAATTTAAATTAATGTTGTTCGATTGTGTTAAGTTAAATAGTTTTTAATTATTTTATAATCAGAAAGTTTTGGCCTCTTTGTAACTCATGGCTATAACCTTTTCACTCACAGCACATACCACTAAAGAGCTAATCCATTTAAAGTGAATCATTCGTTTTATTTTGCTTTATTTTGCGAAAATGTATTCGCCCCACTCCCCTCTTTGGTCCTACAAGCCGTATGTTATTTTTCTTTTGGAGTACCAGCAGTCAAATATTCGAATTCGACACACTCATGTATATATGCAATCAATAAAAAAAACGTTCCAAATTTGTGTGAAAATATTTGTGAAAATAGCGACCATGTTGTGTCGCTTATAAAATATTTTTAAATCTAAAATTTTTGTCCATTATTTATAGGGTATTAATGAAAGTATTTTATAATTTTATCTGCATTTTGAACATTTACCAAGGCTCCACGGTGGATTGACGTATACTTGGCTGTTCCTAATAGAAATAGAGGACAGATTTTCTACAGACGGTCTCTCCTATGAAATCAACTAACGCCTACATAATACAACAAGAATGGAATCAAACTTCGACGAACCAAAGTTTATTAAAATTCTATTTTTTGATTTCGATGCTTAAAAACATTGAAGATATTTCCATTATTCGATACATTTTTATTGGTGTTGACATTAGCGGACTTTACAGTATCCGTTTGATGCGGAGTTTCTGAAACTTATCTGGGTGGGAATAATTTGAAAGACCACGTATTTATCTCGGGACCAGTCAGAGTTATTTGAAAAGAGCTCTTGGCTCAAAGTTGTTTATAAATTGGGCAAGTAAGTGTAAGTATATGTCATATAGCTCCCCTCATTATACCCGTTACTCGTAGAGTAAAAGGGTATATTGTATTCGTGCAAAAGTATGTAACAGCTAGAAGGAAGCGTTTCCGACCCTATAAAGTATATATATTCTTGATCAGGATCACTAGCCTAGTCGATATAGCCATGTCCGTCTGTCCGTCTGTCCGTCTGTCTGTCTGTCCGTATGAACGCTGAGATCTCGGAAACTATAAAAGCTAGAAGATTGGCATTATGCATGCAGATTCTAGGAGTTCCTACGCAGCGCAAGTTTGTTTCAAAAAGGTGCCACGCCCCCTTTAACGCCCACAATCGCTTATATACGATTTTAAAAATTTAAATATTTCGGAAAAGTAAAAATGCAGTTTTATTGAGTTTATTAATACCTATCGAAATGTAGAAGAAATTATTCAAATCGGACCATTCGTTAAAAAGTTATGCGTGATCAAAGTTTCTATCTCCGTCTCCCTCGCACTCCCTTTACCTGAGTAACGGGTATCTGATAGTCGGGGCACCCGACTATAGCGTTCTCTCTTGTTTTAACTTGAATGGTCCCGATTCATTGGAACTGATGGATATATTGAACGTACACAGATAAAAAAATATCCTGAATAAATCAAGAATATTTTGATTGAATATAGAACGCGTTTTCTTGAAATTTTTAATCACGTTTCGGGATTAAAAGGTTAAATAAATCCCGATTCGGGATTAAAATGCCACAATAATCTGAAACGTTCTTGATTTAAGCTTAAAAATTCTTAAAAAGTCAATTTTTGCTGAGAGCGAGAGCAATCTCTCTCTCGTTTGATCTCTCTCGCATGGTATTCCAATATAAGGTAGTCTTCGGTATTCTTGGGAACTCAAAGCATTTGGAGAGGCATGCGAAAGAAAGAGATAGCAAGTTCAATAGTGCGCAGTTATCTTAAAAAGACCACCTTATGTTCTTCAGTTAAATGTACCATGCCATGCTCGGTGCGTACATTTTGGCAATTGAGTCGAGAACGTCGATAGAGCAACAGTGAAAAGTGAACGTGAAAATAAAAATGTGTGAAACTTCGGATAAACCTGCTGAAGGAGTTTGAACTTGAAAAAGTGCACGACTATCTAATCGGTAAGTAGTACTTACTATGTACATATATAATATATATATATATGTATATGTATATACTATATATTAAGCTGAGTTGTGTATGTGAATATGTATATGCATGTACATATGTGCAAGTGTGGCCGGCAGACAGAGAGCAAATGCATAAAATAAATTAATTATAATATTTGCGTGTTATCTACATATACATACATATGTACATGAATGTGAAGTTCAAAAGTGCTGTCAAAAATATGTTTATGGTTGTAGTTTTTCCTTGTATGTACATACATAAATACATACGAAGAACAGTACAGTTCTGTATTTGCGACATATGTACATACATATGTACATACAATTTTTCGTGGAAAAACTCTACAACCTTCTGCAGCTTTGCAGCTTTATGCGATCGTGCACGGATATGCACGCTCTGGAAAAAGTTGCGTACGAAAAATGTTTATACGCGACTGAGCTGCCGCACGCGTGCTTGTCAGAGCACGATCGCATAAGGTTCTGTATTTAGCGAGCGCTGAGTCGAATGTGAAGGGAAAGCTGCAGACGAAAAAAAGTACAGTACTGTATTTCTATACGCAAGTGCGTTGCCATATGCCACATATATATAAATGTGAGTATGTACATACAGACATACATACATACATATGTATGCAGAAATTACAGTTATATATAGCTTTTTTTCTTCAGCTTTACATTCGTCTCAGCGCTCGCGAAATACAGCCTATACAGTTATTACTTTAATTTATTTAGGTTTCAATAAGTTTCTCAAATTGGTTTTTATTTTCAGATTGAAATTGACTTTCCAATGCTCTATCCTGGCAAAGGTCATTTGCTTTTGTCGAAGTGGGAAGAATTCAAAGTCAAAATTTTGAGTCATTACTCAACCCACCTTCGTAACGACTTTTATAAACAACAACTGGCAGTAGCAAAGTCGTCTACAAATAAAGGTAATTATTATTGTTATTAATAAATATATTTGTTAAAACAAGTTATTTCTACATTACAGATCTCCAAGACTTCCTTGTATCGATATTATTAAAAAAACTGACGATTGCGGATTCCCAGGAGTCTTTCGTACTTCAAATAGAGGCCCTGAACAATATACGCCCTAAGATAGACGAACTAGTGAATAAGTTCTATTTAAAAAAAAGAATCCTTGCAGCCATTTCTTAGCCTATAACTAAACTAAAAAATAAAACCATTTCAAAATAAAATGTATATACCAAAAATTAACAATTTTAAGACTTTTTGGGATAAAATCAAGAATTTGAGGATTAAACATTTTAAGAATAGTTGGGATTAAATCAAGAATTTTCTAGATTAAACATTTTAAGAGTAGTCGGGATTAAAAGAAGAATTTTCGGGATTAAATATTTTAAGAGTAGTCGTGATTGTATCAAGAATTTTCGGGACTAAAAATTTTGAGATAGTTGGGATTGAAACAAGAATTTTCCGGATTGAAAAATTTAAGTACGTTCGTACCATAAATAAGAAAATCCGTGATTAGCCTGATAATGATACCGTTTCAGATTGTTTTTGCTAACTTTATCCCGTTTTTTTTTATCTGTATACATAGTTGATTAGTCAATTCGACAATGACATTTTCTTCTAGGATATTTTCTTTGTCGTGGATATTAGTTTCTGGTCGTATTTAAATATGGAATTGCCGTGGTTTAAATATTAATTATTTTCTGTATTTAAATAAAAGCATGGTAATTAAATATATAAATGTGAATATGATCAATATTAATGTAATTGGTACTTAAGTCTGTTTAATTTGAATAAAAGGATTTAATACGTTAATTTTATCGAATGAGAATTCCGAATCATTTGACATAATATATTCGGATATTAAGAAGTCAGTATATTTTCGAGCAGTGATGTATTCCAATATCTTATTGTCCACATTAGTGTAGTATTTATTATTAATTTTAGTGCTGCCATTAAAAGTTATTAAATATGACCCATCTAAACGAGTGTCTTTAACTGTATTATCTCCATTTACAAAAATGGCTCCTTCTTGGATTACATCTACTTTTTAATTTCATACCCTAGCAGAGGGTATTATAATTTGGTCAAAAGCGTGCAACCCAGTCCTGAGTTGATATAAGCATGTCCGTCTGTCTGTTTCTACGCTAACTAGTCTAGTTTTAAAGATATCGAATTGAAACTTTGCACGCACGTATATAAGTCGGAACGGTCGGGATCGGCCGACTATATCATATACCCGCTTAAAACTGATTGATCGGAAATGCCATAACTTTGGTGTTTTTAAAGTTTGGATTTTCTATGGGTTTTATTTTTTACCAATCTGCAAGGGTATATCAACATCGGCTCCGCCCTAAGTAAGCTTTCCTTTCTTGTTTTCTCCTATTTTATTACATAACTAGCTGTACCCGGCGCGACTTCGTTCGCTTAAAATTAGTTTTGAGTACTGTTGTCAAGACTTTCCCATTTCCACACCACCCCTGAGGTAGAGAAATTGGTGCGTTTTTTAATGAGGTAACTCTAATTAGACATATTCCATTGAAACTTTCTAGGTTTAATAATGTTAATTAATATGATTACTTTAAAACCTCTGTGTAAACAACATTTTTAGAAGATCCTTCAGGAGCGAGAATAATAAGGCTACTGGCAGAGATAACTCTAGAGCATGTGACATAAAATTGTCCATGAGAGAAGCAATCTTCTCTAAGATCTAGTCCAGCCAGCTTCAAAGTCTGCCCCTGCGATTTATTTATAGTTATTGCAAAGCAAACTTTTAGAGGGAATTGTAGCCTTTTAAACTGAAACGGTAGACTGGATGGTATTAATGGTATCCTGGGTATAAACACTGTTTCCCCCTTCGCGCACCCCGTAAATACTGTTGCTTCGATTACATTCTTATGAAGACCTTTTATCTGCAATCGTGTCCCATTGCATAACTTTGGGGGACTTAAATTTCGCAATAACATTACGGGTGCTCCAATCCTAAGAGACAGATTATGCTGAGGAATTCCTGGAGGATTCAAAGAATTTAAAAATTCAATAGGGTAATGAACAGCGCTATCAGCATCAGGAACAGAGTCGACCGATTTATAGGAGACTTCTAAACCATCAAATGCCAACAATAAGTTTGTCAAGAAGGTTTTACCTGTCCCTCCAGGTGCATCCAAAAAAAATATTTCACCCATCTCAGCCCCAACGCTTTGTAAAACTGTATTGTATACGACTTTTTGCTCGTTCGCTTAATATTAGTTTAGAGTTAGGAAATTGGGTTGTCAGGACTTTCTTATTTCTTATTTGGGCGTTTTTTGAAAACCTTTGTGTAAACAACCTGTGACGACCCAGCGTCACAAATAATAAAAGAACATTCCAAAAAACAACACAATGATCTTTTATTCTCCCTACGCTACACCACATTCAAAACACGCGCCAAAATCGCGCACTTTTAAAACGCGCGCCCAAAAACATTAAATCGGTCACACTAATATACCGATAGTCGACTACCATCGCTATATTTCGTGACCCGATAACAAGTTATCGAGATCGGGATCCCCAGAAGTCACGTTTCCGGCTCCCGACCCGGAAACGAAACGGATGTAGAAACGGCAGTTCGAACCTAACGATGCCCGGCAGACCGAAACTAACGATGCCCTACATTCCCGAATCCCACTAGAAACCAAGTAGATCTTTCCCAACGACCCAGAACACTTCGACCCGACGTACGCACGACGAAGCAGTTCATAACTCGGCCCATTCGCAGCGCCGACAGCAAGCAGTCCATCACTCGGCCCATCCGCAGCGCCGACACTCGCAGCAAGCAGTTCATCACTCGGCCCATCCGCAGCGCCGACACTCACAGCAAGCAGTTTACCACTCGGCCCATCCGCAGCGCCGACACTCACATCAAGCAGTTCACCACTCGGCCCATTCGCAGCGCCGACAGCAAGCAGTCCATCACTCGGCTCTTCCGAAGCGCCGAATCGACAGAACAAGCAGTCCCGACGCATCTACACACAACTACACGATTATACGATTACTTTGAAATACACGTCTCTAGTTTTACCCATCTGTGTCATTATTGGGGAAAGGGAGGTAAACCGATCTATAGAGGAATAAATATAAATATCTGTCACGAACCCTGACCACGGCGAGCTATACCGCCTCCCAAAACAGGGTCGTTACAAACCTTTGTAGAAGATCCTTCAAGAGAGAGAATCAGAAGGATACTGGCAGCGCTATATAATAAATGAAAGTGATCCAAGTAAAAGTCGTGAGCTAGTATACTTTTTATCAGTTACAATGTTATCAATGCAATTTTAATTTGCGCACAAATATGTATACTTGTTTGTAAATTGGAATTTGTTGTTTTCAAATTTCTTGTTTTGAATGAAACGAAAACCTTTGTACACACAGTAAAAGATTGGCATCCAATACAAAAACAGCAAAGTAACGTATTATTTTCAGATTCCACATTTGATCGATAAACGGGTATAATAAATCATTTTATTTGTATTTAAGCACATTATCTACTTTCGAATAGAAACATACAGACACATTGTATGTATGTACATGTATTGTACATATAAGCAAATCAAAACATATCCAAATATACATATTTACATACGTATTTGGTCAAAAGTTCGAATCTTAAGATTAATATTTAACTTGGAAACATTTTGGCTTTGCTTACAGAATTTGTAGTAATTTTCTATTTTCTTCCATGGTGGAAATTAAATAAGGCTCTTACTTCTGCTACAAAATGAAAAATAAAACCTAAGCATTTGATCCACAGGACTGACTATTGATCGAAAATCATATTGATCGGAGCAGCAGTTTAAGTTTTTAAAATCCTAAACAAATTTAACTTAAATTGCCTCTTTCCCCTCCCCTTTCCCTGCAGCACTTCCCCTCCCCCTCATAAGTTTTCTTGGCTGTTGCTCTCTCGGCCGTCGCTCTCTTGGCTTCTGGGTTTCGTTCTCTCGACAGGCTCCCGCAAAATGCAACGCAATGACTTAGAAAATCTAAATAAATTCGTTAAAAATACTTAAAAAATGTTAAAAACTTGAAAAATTAAACTTAAGCATTTGGGCCATAGAATAACTATTGAGCGAAAAATCATCTTGATCGGAGCAGCGGTTTAGATTTTTTAAATCGAAAAGTTAATTTTAAATGTAGCCCCCAAATTATGGGGGATATCAAAATTTCTTTTAGATTTCTAATTAGGCATTTTCAAAACCTAAAATTCGGAAAAAACCAAATATCGAAATTCCAACCAGTTTAGAAGTTAAGCTTAAATACATCAACTTTTTTTTGCTCAGAATAATGGATGTTGGAGCTGTTTGGGGCCACTGGGGGGACATATCGGATCTTAGTGGGCGCCCACGCCCCCAATGGAATACTGTGAAAAAATTTGGCTGCTCTTGCTCTTACGGTTTGGGCTGTGGCCGTATCCCCTTAAAAATCGGTCTTTCATTTTATAATCTTTAGGGACAAGAAAGGAAAGCTAACTTCGGGCGGAGCCGAAGTTGATATACCCTTGCAGAATACTCAGTATGTTATATTCTCCAAAATTATTCATATGATGCATTCTTAATACTTATAAAATATCCCAACTTCCTAACTTAACAAACACCAAAGTTATGGCATTTCCAATCAATCAGTTATATGGCAGCTATAGGATATAGTCGGCCGATCCTTATGAAATTTGGTAGGTCGGACTGATTGGCCAAATATAAAAGCCATAGAAAATCCCAGCTTCCTAACTTTACAAACACCAAAATTATGGCATTTCCGATCAATCAGTTATATGGAAGCTATAGGATATAGTCGGCCGATCCCGGCCGTTCTGACATATATACTGCGTGCAAAGGAAATAAGGGTGTGTGCAAAGTTTGAACTCGATAGCTTTAAAACTGAGAGACTAGTTTGCGTAGAAACAGACAGACGGTCATGGCTATATCAACTCAGGAGGTGATCCTGATCAAGAATATATATACTTTATGGGTCGGAGATGTCTCCTTCACTGCGTTGCACACTTTTGACCAAAATTATAATACCCTCTGCAAGGGTATAAAAATGTTTCTTCATTTAGGTATCAGTTTGGTAAAACAAGAACTTTCTGGGTTTAGTAAGCAATAGTTATTAAATAATTCCGTCTTAAAATTAGACATTACATAAAACTTATTTCTACATTTTGCGACATGATTATTGATTAATCATTTTCCATCACTATGTGAAATGGATC